GGCCTTTATGTAAGCGGCCGGCCCGCTCTGCCCCTGCTCGCCCCCCGGGAACGGCGCCCTCCGCGCTGTGCCGTGGCCGATAGAATGGCGAGGCCGGCGCGGCCCTCAGGCCCCGGCGCGGCTGGGACGCAGGAGGGCAGAGCCGCGCGGGGGGAAGGGGCTCCTGCCCTGGCCCTCCGTGAGGAGAGTCCCGGCCTGTGGGAAGGGCTCGGGAGCCAGGACGTGCTCCCGGGGTGCCCCGGCGCTGCTCGGATGTTGGCGGGGGATAACCGAGATGGCTTCAGCCTGCTCGGTTCCTGCTGCTCTCCTGCGAGAGTGACCGCGGTTCTCCCCCCGGCATGCGGCGGCAGCAGCCGATGTTGGCCGGGGGCCCCAGCCGCATCCTGGGCCGGGGCAGCACCATCCCCTCCGGAGGCTGCATCCTGTGAGAAATCAGGTTGTGATTCGTGTCAATCGAATAGCGCCCACCTATGTATGTGTGTCTGCGGGCAATGTGGACAGAGACCATGGGATTAATTATAAAGAATCATTTTTAAGAATCAGCTAAAGTGAGGCATGGAAGTAGGGTTTAACAAGGTAACTATGTAACAGTAAACTTTTGGCAAATAATTTGTTTCAACAACAAAATTGTAATTACTTGCAAGTAATTAATATAAGCTTTAAACTACTTTGTAATATAAGTTTCAAACTATCCTTTGTACAAGCTGTAGATTGGTTTTTTTGAGTATGGAAGAATTTGTAATCGTTTAAAAAGGGGAAGTAGGACTAACATGAGCTGAGAGGCTCTACAAAGGGATTTTAAAACATGCTGACTTTGAGTTTTGTAATAACTGAAGAAGAGGCCCTATGAAGATATTTTTTAGACATGCTAGCTTTAGGTTGTGAAATGATTGAAAGAAGGCTTGTAAAATGTATCCTGACAAACAGAATATATATGCTTGCTTAAACAAACTGTATAACCAAAATAATGCTAGTGGAAAAAAGATATTTTAAAAGACGAACAGGAGGCTGGAGAGATATCAGAAGACCATCTTGGACCACCTCCCCAACAGATCTTCAAAAACCACAACTGCTGATTATGAAGAGAAGCAAGTAGAAAATAACTGAAAATTTGAGGAAGTGAAGTGCCTGGGATGGTATTAGAGACTACTGTTTGAGACCTGAATTGGCGTTGCTTGGGGCAGAGACCCCTGCACATCCAGTGCTGTCATTGCTCACCCTTTTATTGAACAAATTAATAAATTGGTTGTATTGTATTGGCAAGTCTAGCTTTTCATTTATAAGAGAGGGACAGTGGCACGGGTGCTCGCTGCCCTGTTCGGAGTGCTCATTGTGTAATTCAAAATTTGCTGCTTTGCCTGGTGCCTCACCTTTTCCGGCCGTGAAATTAAGGTGGTGACTGACTACCTGCTTGATGTACCACTGAGGCTTAATTCCTTAGAGGTCCTGGATGGAGGGAGGTGCTGAGAGCTCATGTGCATAGACAGTTGTTTCAGGCTCCAAGTCTTAATGCTCTACTTAGATGATCTCTGCATCTCAAAATTGCCTCAGTGCTTTTCCCTACAAAGCAACTCTCTGCACTGATTGGTTTTGAACTGGAAGCTTGCATATTTGTTTGCTTTTCAGACAATTCCATTATATTTCTGTATAACTCTGTCTATTCAGAATGCTACAGCCTTGGTTAATATTTGTCAAACGGCGCTCTGACTGTCTAAACTACTGGGACGAGTTTCATTTTATATGTCATCAGTAGGGGCAGAATAAGGAGCTTCGTGCTTGGCCTATTTGCTGTAACACAGTCTCAGGGTCATTGCATCAGAGTCAAAACAAGGAGCAGCTTGTTTCCAAACAAGAAATATGGAGGAAAGTCTTCTCTGCCTCCTTCCCTGTAAGGGAAAAGAGAGGCGAGACGGGGTGGTGGTGGGGGAAGAAAGTTATCTTTAACAGATTCTAAAAATGCCTTTTCCCAAATATGCAGTCAGTCTCTTCAAAGGTCTCTTTGTTTATTTTCAGGAAGAAACCCAAGACAGCTGAAAACCAGAAGGCGTCTGAGGAGAATGAGATTACTCAGACGGGTGCATGCAGCGCCAAGCCGGGCCTTCCCTGCCTGAACCTTGAAGCTGTTCCTTCTCTGAGCCCGGCCCTCATCCACTCTCCACATTCACCAACAAACCTGCACGCACACACAGGGTCATCTGATTGTGAGTACACCAACATGCTGCTGGGGTTCTTGGAAACACCTCCATTACTGTTACTCCAGCTTTTCCAGTTGGATGCTCTTCCCATAATGTCATAAGCAGGACCTCCCCAGGGCTTACCTTTTGCCTTCTTTCCGAATTAAATCTAAAGCAGAACGTTTTTGTGTTAAGGTTGTGATAATGCAATCAGCCAGAGAAGGCTGAGAGTGTGTTGTTAGGTCAGGTTGCTGCTTATTACAAATTAAAAAGGGAAGACCCCTCAAGCATGTCCCTGTCCAGCTAGAACTGTTGCTTCTCTCCAGGTAGTCACATGCTTCTCATTACCCAACCATATCTCCTGACTGGGGAGTTTCAGCCTGTGCTGAAAACAAGTGCCTGGCTTTGAGGCCCAGGACTGTAAAGTTTCCACAAAGAGAGGGGAGTGTTTTGTGGAGCGGATCAGTCTGTGAGAGTCTGGAAAAATCTTTGTAGACCTATGCGGTTGTACCAGCTTTAAAGCCCTTGTTTTCAGGGCATTCACTGTCAGATTACTCAGCATGGGTTAATTGACCTTTAGAAAATGTTGTTCTCCATTTTTGCCAAAAAATACAAAAATAAGGGAGGGAATTATTAAAATTGGATTTTGGAAAGTCATCTTACCTTGCCGGCTCTTCAAAACATCGTCATTTCACAGAGGTCCTTGCCTGGAAGTCTCTTGGGCAAAAATGTTGAGGGTAATCACTTACTAGTTTTAGAATACATAGTTTACCTCTTCTGCAGTGGTTTAGGATGTTGTAAAATTTACAAGAGGAGGGAAAAAGGAGAAGGATGATGACACCAGGTTTCAACAGCTCAGAAGTCAACCAGACTTTGCAAAAGCCTATAAAAAAAAATCAGGGCATGACAATAAAAAAACAGATTAAAAAGTATGTGTATCCTTTTCTTTTTTAATTTAAAAATCCTGCCTCAGGGCCAGGCTTGGAAGCAGTCAGGTTATAGGGATCATCACTATCAAAATCACTTTAGCTGCAGTACATTCCTGTTGGCTTCTGACTTTATTCATTATGAGCTTCTGCTAGAGATCTTGATTTTAATAGAGCTGGTAAACATTGGGGAGACTTTCCTAAATCTCACCTGGTGATTTGGGGAGAAGAAAGAGGTGTGAAACAATTGAGCAGCAGGCAGCATGCAATTTAGTATATACAAGAATTCTCTTCAAATTGGAGATGTCAGGCTCTTTGTTAAAATCAGGGTGCAGTTTTGTCTTGTAATGTTTTCTGAAAACAAAAAGCTTGTGAAAAGATGCAAAAAATGAGAAGAACAACAAGAAAAAAATAATCCTTATTTTCAAACAAAGAATCCCTTTATCCCATTCACAAAGATGAAAGAGTTCATTAGTAAATGGGATTTGAAACCTCACACTGATTTTTTTTGACAGTACAAATGGAAATCCATGAAAGCAACCTTAGGACAGAGGCCAGCAGGGATTGTAGGGAACTTGGAGAATGAACTCCTGCTTTTGCTTTCTGAGGTGGCCAAGTTCAGGGTGAGGAATATTGGCAGAGGGCAGCAGGGGAAGGTGGAGCCTGCAGCTCTTTATGCTCTACCTGTTCGGTGAAGCGTCTTTTTGACCCCTAAGTTTTTAATGTCCCCAAGTCACCTTCCATTTGATGTCAAAAGCCTTTTCCTACCCAAACAGTTGTATTATTCTATAAATAGGAATAAACGGCCATCCCAGGTTGGATGCTCCTTTCACACTGAAAGTGTGGGGGATTTTTTTCAGAAAATGGGTTTAATAGTAATTTCAGCATTGACATTGTCCTATCTTGTGAATTGTTGAAAATTAGTTCCCAAAATATAGCTAGAGTCCTGCAAAAATTCAGGAAATGGTAAGATCTGTCTTGGTATTGATCTCTATTAGCTGATTCCATGTACTTCAAAACCAATAGAAAATCCCACAATTTTTTATGATGGGTTATGACCTTTATCAGGCTGTATTTGTTATGGGTGGTATGCATAAAATTAGTGTTTGGCATGCCCTTGCAAAACAGCAAGAGCCCACATGAACTAAAATGAGGCATGATGAATATTTACTGCATATTTACTGTAGCTTTCTACCGTGTTTTGTGGTATTCTTTTTTAATATTGCCTCAGTCCTTAGTGCTGGAATATGTTCAAGGACATAAAAGATTGATTTTTGTGGCTCCCAACATTAAAAATGGGTTTCCCTGCAGTTACAAATACTTTTGCCATGCCTCTGATGTGCCCTGTCTTTTGGATTGATTATTTTCCCTCTAGAATCTCTTTCTGTGTCCCTTTCATCCCTTCCTCTCAGAGCTACATTGCCACATCTTTCTTCCTCTCAACTTTTGGACCCATGGTGATGCTTTTCTTCTTTGGGCCAGCAAGACTTTCTGTCCTTCCCCCTACCTGTAGGCAGCACAATATTGCTTTTCCTCCCTTTCCCAGACCATACTACTGCCTGTACCCCCACAGCTGGGCAGATACTTCATTTCCAAAGGACATTCTTCACTCTGCTGGGGAGTTTTCTAGTGGATGGCAAATAATACAAAAATACTTCAAAACTAGAGTTAGACAGGAAGTTTGGGAGGAATTTTCTCTGAAAATACCAGAAACACTCAGAAAGAGTCAGCATGGTAGGGTATATCAATTCTTGGGAAAATGCACAGATGTACAGATGGTTTCATAAGGCCTCAGTCATGTATCTGGGGAAAAAAAGGCTTGGATTTTATGGACCACCTATTCAAATCAGTTTGAAATCTTCACTGACCATTTTGCATGCATAGTCACTAGCACTTGGCAGAAAACACCACCACATATTTACTATTATGAGAAATGTTCAGAAGCCAATCTACTTTAAAATATCAGGGTGCTTTTTGGAATGATTCAGATCAAATTTTTTTTCCAAGCATGGGAAATAAAAACTCTGTGATAGCCATCTGCTCCTCAGCTGTAAAAGGCAGAGGTGAAGAAAGCCTAAAGCAATAGTCTGAATGCCAGTCTTACTGATATGAATGCTTAGCAAAAAAGAAAAAACCTGGATAAAGTCATATGTGATGCACAACATAATTTAGGGTTTCATTCTGTAGCATAGTATGGTCTACATGCTACTTCTAGTGACACTTATTCCAAATGAAATTGCATTATTCTTCAAATTTGTAGGACTGGGTCCTAGATTTCTGGGTTTGAACACTGTGTTTCCAGCACAGATGAATCCTTGAAGCTAAATCCAGAACACAGGATGCACTGTGTTCCAGTCCCATCTCTTTGAGTCTTGGGAAATGCCGACTCATGCAATACAATTGGAGAAACAAGTCAGAGGAAGAGGTGTTTCCTGAGGTAACTGTTTTCATGGAGGGCCTGGCAGATGAAAAACACTTTGAGTTAATTTGGAATTAAGTGATAGAGTGAGCTGATAGGACTGCTGAGTTATACCTCTAGCTACTCAGCTGTCACAAACAGATCTATCTGCTTACCCAGAAGAAAGGTGCTCGTGCAAGGACAGGCACAGGTTCTGAAAAGGTTATAAAAAAGCAAAGGAAAGCAATGAGATTTCTGCTATTTGCGTTTTTTCACGTATTTCCTTGCTTATGGATAGAGAATGCATAAAGTGCATAATAAGGTTGTAGTTCAAAGGCTGAACAGCCTCAGGTAAAATTTCTAAAGATTTCAGTGAGTGGAAGAAGGTTGTCAGGACCTGGCTGTATTTAAACTGGTTTGGTCTGCATAGGCCACTTATTTCAGGAGCCTTTCAGAAAGCATCTATAACTGTATATGTTTTGCAAGTGCCAAGAGATAAGATCACTTTGGCAGAAACTTTCACGAGTTCTCAAAGATACAATCAGACAAAAACTTCATTCAGGCTCTGATGTATGCATCTTAACAGATGTGTCCAAACTCAAAGGAATCCCACGGGAACAGTGCAACTGAATCTCTTTGTCTCTGTTGATAGTTAAAAGAGTTATTCTTAGACATTGGATGGTCCATCTGTGGAGGAATTTGTTCCAGACAAGACAAAAGCAACATCTTTGCAAAGAGTTTCCATGGGACTGAGAGGTAGGTTGGACAACCACTGGAAAAACTTCTGAAGCAGTATTTATGATTTTAGAGAACACAGAATTCTTGCAGAGACCTGAGATTCTGGTAAGGAATGAGTTGAGAAGAAAAGTAAGGCATTTATATTTTTTTAAAAAAAATCCATTAAACAATCATTAGCAGGTTGTCAAAATAAAGGAGGACTTTTTAAAGTTATGTTTTAGCAAGGGACTGGGGAGGATTTTTTGCATTAAATAGAGTGCACTTTATAAACACTGTTAGTGATAGACCACATCTGAACTCTTTGCCCCTACATGTTCAAGTACCATGACTGACTTGGTCTAATTCCAGCATTTTTCAGCTTTCACAGGGCAAGAGCTTTGAAGCACAGTATTTGCTTTTTTTTCTTTTAAGTGCTGATTTCTGTAGCTTCTTAGCCTTCCAACATGACAGGGAAAAACAGAGTAGGAGCCTCACAAGATTCCTGAACTCCACAGAGCATCGAGAGTGAATATGGAAACTCTGGGGTTTTATTTTCTTGAGCAGCTAGAGGGACCCACCATTCCCTTCCCATGAATCTGACTGTTTGATTTGCCTGGGGCAAAGATCTGAAGGTGGTTTGGCCTCATCTTTACCTTTCACATTTCCTGTGTTACTCTTCAAGGTTCTGTGGCAGGAAGAGAATGGTTACATGCCCTGATGGTCTTCCCCCTCTCCCTGGAAATTTGTGGCTGTGATTCCCTAGGAACTGCTCTGGAGCTTTCAAATAGTCTCCACTTTCAGTGAGGACAAGGAGCACCCTGATTCTATCAGCTTCCTTGTTTAGAGAGTCAGGCAGTATGTCAATAGTAATTTCAGCTGTATTTTTGCTAATCTATGTATGGCATGTCTTAGCTAATGCTGAATATTTTTAGATTGTTTTTGGTGACCTAAGAAATTAAGTATGTTTAGATATCTATTTTAGATGA